CTAGAGCATTCGCCAAGGTACAGGATAGTTCTAGAAAGCAGAGGGCGTGAGAACAGTCACGTGATCTCGCTGACGCAACCTAAGAGTTGGTGGTGGGTGCTGTTGGCTAACTATCTTCCTTCTAGTCTCTCTGGCAGTTCAGAGTTAGGTAGGGCTATGCACAGATAGCTGACAAGCTTCTTAGATGTCTTATTAAAAAGTTTTACAGCATTCAATCTTTTAATCAAAGGATCGGGATTCAATCCTGCACATCTTTGTCGAGTACAGTTATATATTTTTTAAACTAAAGCATACTTAGTGTTACTTACAAGAAATTTACCTGTTTTAATTCATGCCCAGTTTCATAAAAAAAAACAATGGAAAAGTGTAACAAAATGCTATGTAGCTTTGTGCAAACATTTTAAAACTAAATAGCAGAAAGATGTTATACTCTGCTTCAAAACGTCAAGATTTTTTTGTTAAATTGTTGTTAAACCAAATTAAACAGAGTTTAAATTAAAGTATGTCTTTGGAGTATAATATAATTTATTCACTGAATAATGACGGATTAAGGGTGGCTTGGGCCCCGGGTGGAAGGAGAAGAAAAGTATCCCCCCTTCCCATCATAGATATATTGATCTCTGGCGAACTGAGTCAACTTCACTGTCAAAATCATAATGTTAAGCATATACATGTGATAACCTTTTAATAGCCTTGTAACAATGGAAACAATATAGACAAACCATAAATGTGTACAAACACATTTTATTCGCCCATGAATGATCATGAAGACAACTTGTTTAGAACTTGCATGTACCTTTTTACAGCTAGAATTGTCTTTTCTGGCTTTATTATAACCAAACTCGTCAATGAGTTTCGAAAAGTCTAGCTTTAGGAGTATGTCACATTCTATGTTCATTATAGACAAACTGTTTAGTCGGCTTTGTCCTCTTCTGTTCCTGAGCTCACTTTTTATTCGTTTCAATTTCGAAAACGATCTCTCCCCGCTGCATTATCTCAACATTAGGAAATGTTTGGATAAGTGCGTGTCTATGGTGAAAGAGGGCCATTTTGAACTCCCACTGATTCTGTTAGTTCAGCTTGTGTGAATGAGCGTCGAAGCTCTGGAATTGCGAATGTGGAAAACTGGATCAATTCGTTTTCTATCTCGGTTTCAGCATCGTTGGAAGAGAACGGACAAGACCTTTTGCGGCTTGGCTCATGGGTGACCACAGAAATATTTTCAAGGGAGTGCAAAACATGTATGTACGAGATCAGTTTTTCAGTGTAAGTCAACAGCTAAACGCAAACTCAATTTTACAGTT